GGGCTGCCCGTCCAGCCGTGACTCCTGCCCCAACCAGGCGGGCGATGACCCGATCCACAACTACATGGATTACTCCTACGATGAGTGCTACGAGGAGTACACTGACGACCAGGTCACCCGCATGAACAGCATGTGGTCTCAGTACCGGTCCTAGACAACTCGCTCGAAGACTACCCTGTGGCTCAGGGAAGGGTTTCGCTGGTGGTAGTTGTCTTGCAAGACTCAATTGATGCTAAAAGGGGCCCGAGTGGTATTTCGTATATCGTGTAGGTGTTATAATTCGTCATGTACATAGTCGTTGCTTTTACAGTCGGCACAAGCATGTACCTTACATACATCCCACTCCGTATTACATAGCAGGAACGACATTGGAAATGTTGAAATCGTCTAGGATCAGGTTGATAAGACGTGCTTCGCTATAATTGCTGTGACGCGAGATAGAGTTGACAGCTTCGAAGATCTCAACTCTTAAATGCGTCACTGAGATGCCTTGTGTCCGTTCCCTTGCCACCTGTCAGCTTGTCGCGACTGGCACACAAAGAAACCAGACATGCTCGCGTTCTCAATTTACCAAAAGCGGGTATTACAACAGCCCAGGATTTCCGGAACATGGCATTAAAGGGTGAAGAGAAAGCTATCACAGCGCGAGGAGTACTTTCAGGTTCGAGGAGCAAGGGTTCCGTTTATGAACAGTGGGACCGTCTCGTGAGAAGGAGCTTCCGATCGGATCCTGATCACATATCAAAGCGTTCGTATTCTCTTCTGTAGCTGATTCTGAATGCATGCGATCGTTTACGGTAACATTGGATGGTCATGGAAACGTAAGTGACAGACAGAGAATGAAGAGACCAATGATATTCCTCGGAGTAGACTGATGAGAGGTACCTGTAACAACCATGATTGTTCCCTTCAAGACCCTTCTAATGGCTTAGATACCCATCCAATTGACTACATCTTCTTCATGCCTTGATCCATGCCCTGGTTGACCCCTTTGTTGATGTACTGGTCAGCCCCCTCGGGAGCTCCCTTCTTGTGCGCAAAGTTATCGGCGGCTGCATCACATTTGATTGGTATAAGTATGGACCTATACGGCTATTTATTTGGGATTTTGCTTCGTAACATACCATCATCAGCCTTCTTTTGTTGCTCGCCTCCCGAGCTACTTTCCGTCAGTACCATCTATCGAAACTAGGGACGGCAGTTCCTACGCCTTGTCCTTCAAAGAGTCTTTGGCATGCTTGAGCTTGTCCATGATGCTTAATTTGATTGTTCGGTGGTTGCTGTGGATATGCCTTGGTTGGACTCGATTAGGTGACTGCGGAATGAGAAAGGTGGCCCAGGATTGAGGTTAGCGATGGGGATGAGGCCTCAATATATAGCCCCTGTGCGGGACCTTGCCAGTCGATCGGCTGCATTAGGTCGCCATGATAAGCTTTCACTGAGGAGGACATCACCTTGCCCTTAAGCCCGTTTCACTGCACTCTGACGCGGAGGCGAGCGACGGCACCTCGATTGCGTCATCGAGTATCCCGTAGGTCTCATGCAGATCTGAGGCCGCTCAAAGTTGGACCTATGATCATACTGGTTATTGGATGTCCGGGCAAGATGTCAAGCATACGGGCCTTTCCATGAGCCGAGACGGCGCGGAAGTCAATCGTACAGCCGTCGATACGCTTCACCGTTTACCCCACTTGTAACGTCAAGATCCGTCATCTACCGGGCTTGATGGAATTTGAGTTCGAGACAAGACGGGAAATGGCAGGATTTCTTGCTACGAGGCCCCGGTATTGGGCGATTAAGGGGGTGCGAATTAGCGGACGATACCTTTCAATTATTTCGAACAGCCAGACGTCCAAAGATTGGTCTCGAGAGATTGACTCAGGGCAGTGTCCCATTGCACGTGCGTCTGACAATGGATATCTCGGACGTGGGCCATCTGGGACTGGTTTAAAAAGGAAGACTATGATTACTCACGAGATAGGGGTTCGATGTGCCCAAGAACGATATCTGAGCGAATCCCAAAGTGTCTCAATCATGAGTAGAGTCTTGTGAGAAAGCCGGAGCAACTGAGTGGTGCGATGCATTTTGACATGAACATAATGCATATCTCTGACACCCTCTGAGCTCAGCATATTATTCAAAGAGAAATTTATTTATTTGCTATTGTCGAAGCCTTCTGTAAGCCCATGACGTGAATTCGACCGTCTTGGCATCGACAAAGCGCCATCCCAAGTCAGCTGCCCAAATGATGATTGCCCAAAGGGTCACCACTGCTAAGACCACAGCCACCACATATGCCTCCTCTGTATCCAAGCCCACAGTCTTCAAAAAGAACCTTTCAATTATGGTTGCAAGACTTGGCAGAATGATACCATGTATGATGTAGAGCGAAAACGAGATTCGCCCAAGATACTGCGCAAATCGAGTATTGAATAGCCTTTGCAGGAGCGGCGATGAATCAATGGCGAGGACAAGCCCAACTGCGGCGAATGGGACCCAGAACCAATCTGGCCCCCCTTTACTATGGAAATGCTCTGGAATCGATGATGACAACGTAATATATCCGACACTGCTTGCCGCGTTCTGGTCCATTCGTGGCATGCTCAGGACGAATAGTGATATAAAGAAGGCAATGATGCTACCTGTCTGACGTAAGGTGTTGTTTCGCAAAATCCTCCTCAGCCGAGACCCTCGTTGAGATCCTAGGAAGGAGAGTTCCTCGACGAGCGTTGCATCAGTTTCGCAGGCACATTGACGCAGGAGATTGTGGTCAGCAATCAGCATACCGCCAATAAATAGGAACTCGGACCAGTTGATCTGCCACCAGGAATAGACTGCAACGCATACGAGGAAGGTCATTCTGGTGCGGGAGGTGAGGGTGGAAAGCGCAAGTAGTAGCCCAAAAACGACTACCGAACATCGAAACTCAATCGGAAGAGTCCAGAGAACGTGATTGTAGTCCCAATTATCACCGTTGCCGTTGTAGAAGTTTGAAAGCCTGGCTATTGCTTGCCAGTAGTCCATGGTCTGACCAAAAGCGGTGCTCAGTCGAGAGGGCGTGAGAGCCACTGTTGCAGTATTGTCGATCTTGGGTGCACTCTCGTATACACCAAAATACGCTAAGAATAGGGATGGTATACACAGTATCGTGGCTGGTATGAATAATCGTGGATGACGTCGAAATGCTGATGATGCTATAGTGTGATAAGTTTCAAGGTGTTCCTGCTGTCGTAAGTGTCGTAACGGCTGATAGCTCAAGGCATAGCCGGATATGACGAAGAACACCAAGACATGCGGCCGGCCAGAGATTATCAATCGGATGATTGGTAGTTGAATGAGGTGGTCGTCGGAACCCGTCCACCCGTTGTGAACATTCCACGAAAAAAAGACCAGGGACAAGTGGTGCCACACCACAAAGAATGCGGCCACACCTCGAAGACCATCTTCATAATATCAGCGAAGCCTAATTCATATGACGAGTGGTACTGGACTTACCCAACCAAGCCGTACTTCGAAGCTCTATGCGTCTTGTCTCCTCGTTGAGCGGGTGAAGGAAGCTTGGGAGGAGAATTTTCAAAACGATCGAGCCTAACTTCTTTATCACACCTGACAAACCTCCGACCATTTGAACACGAGTGAAAGATGAAAAAGGCGCTTCATTGGTATCTGCAGGAGCCGAGTCCCCCGCCTTTTCTGGCAAAGAAGCTTCGCTAGTTATTTGGCGATACCCGACAGAGTTAACTCTCCATGATCTTATCTTGCTGAGATACGTCCACATATTGGCAATTGAAATGGGTAGTGGAGGCTCACATGCAGTATTGTTATGAAAGGACTTTTGGATTAAAAGTTGATATGGACATTAGTTACATTATTCCAGTCAGTGGGAATGGCCTTATAAGCAGTGACGGAATCGAACTGTTGAAACACATGGCTGGTTAGTGGACTCATTACTGTATCACGGTAGGGCAATTTAGAATTTAAATCTTGAATCATCTTTGACCGAGACCTGTGTTGCTTGATTTGCATCTCAACTTACTCTTTTTCTGCCCGGAACATGTTGGGACCCTTCTCTATTTGCGGCTCATGCCAACGTCTTATTAGGAAAGGATTGTGGAAAAGCCACGCAAAGGCATCTGTATCAAGATTTAAAACCTCAATTGTGTGATTCGAGGTGGACGCATAATCAGAAGACTATCGATTCTAGACGTTAGAAGTCTCGTCATAAGAACTCGCCCTGTCCCGTACCACGTGTTCCCAAATTTGAGCACCCGCCTCGTAATAAGACCATGTATTTATGGCGGGGCTTTTGTCGTTCAAGATTGTGCCCGAGGAGTCGAGGTGCGACAAGCAATCTACCACATCTCTAGAACTCGTCACACATGTGTTCTGGTGACTCTGACGCTTGCTGGAGGCGAGATGACGGCGAGCCCATCCCGTGGGTGATTCTTAGTACATCAAATCCTACTTCATGAGGAGTCAAGCATCACAGACATCATAGATGCCTATCTCTTCAATTTGGGACCATTGTAGGCCGAGTAAGCAACTTGTATCGATATTTTGCGCGCCGATACGAAGCCGACTTCTAGTTAAAGCCACTTCAGATGCTGATGGATGAGCATGGAAGTAGGCATCCTGTGCCCTTGACAAAAGCGATAACGCTCGGTCCTTTGTTTTAAACGGGCGTGACATGGTGCATCGAGATTCGAGCAAACATGAAGGCAAGTGACGCAGCTTCCAGTGGATGCTCGGTACACCTTCCTACCGTTTACAGCTTGCCGGCAACTGCGACCACCACATGATCCAAAACCGCAGCTGCAGGTTGCGGGTGAAGGGCCAAAGGAAATGTCTGGTCAAACGAGAAAGCCAATACGGAGTTAATCGATCTATGTAAGATAGCTGCTTCCTGCTCTCACTCAAAAATGACGCGCCGCAATCCAATCCATGGCGGGAAAGACGTCGGTGTCAAGCATGGGTATAACTGGTCGTCTGATCAACCAGCGACCATTATCGTCCAGTGGTTAGGATGTCAGATTTTCATCTCAGGTATTGAAACACTCTGAAGACCGGAGTTCGAACCTCCGTAATGGTAGAATTTCTCTTTTCCCCTTCTTTTTTTGTCTCCCCTTACTTTTCCCCATTATGTATATTGATCTGATACTCGAGGTGCTAGCCTGGTCGTTACCGGTAGACACCAATAACATACGCCTACATTCTAGACAAGCACCTGAATGTCACAAGATTCGAGGGCACCCAGGACGTCCTTTGATAAATCGAACGGCTGCACTGTATGGCGTGGTGTTGTTAGATACAAGAGGGATTTATCAGGTAGGGAGGTAGGGAGGTAGGGAAGTCGGTAGCCTTGTGTTTCCTGTTTCAGATTGAAAGGACTGCTTCGACCAATGATAGCACTTATTAGACACTGAAAGACCGGTAGGAGTGAGCAGGGAGCTCTATTTCAACCCCAGATCACGGGGAACAACAGCGCTAGGGTACCCAAAGTGTGGCGCTTAACTAGTGGTTTCGGTCCATTTTCGTGGATACCTAACTATGTACATACCTATACGCCAAGAGCCTCCCTACTTGGGACTCGGCCGAATATCGCAGTCATACATCTGCGAATCTCAATTTACCGGAAGATATTGCCTGTGGTAGGAGGCACCAACGCAGATACCGATAAAAGCAATCTTCTGTTGTACGGGCACTGAGTGCTTGCGTTGATGACGTCATTCGCTCACCAGGATGGTCTCAATCAGTCCACCCTCGAGTATTCCATTCCACCAGACAGTCAGACTCTGGTCTCCATACCTAATAAGTAGCAATCTTTTGCCGGCCATCCTGTTGCCTACCTGCCCGCCCGCTCCAGCATGAGGTACTCTCGTTACAGATGATGACATCGGGTCCTGGGACAGTTCCCCGGAATCTCGGGGCTAGAGCTCTCCCTGGAATTGAAGACCCGCGCCTCCCTCTATTGGCTGGATAGGATACGTTATTCTTGTAGTAGAGACTTGCATCTACCGATAGATTGTGGTGTATATCGTTCCAAATTCACACCTCACCGTCGTTGTTACTTATTTCACACGCTAAGCATGTAGGTTTCATATCAATCCATCAACATGTCAGAAGAAATCCAGCCCTTCCAGATCGCCATTCCAGACGTCGCCCTCGCAGATCTCCAGACCCGCCTCCGCAATACCAGATTCCCGGACGAGCTGTCCGCCGGCGGATGGGACCTCGGCTCTCCTCTCGAGGACGTAAAGCGCCTCGCCTCCCACTGGGCCGAGCGCTTCGACTGGCGCGCCGCCGAGGCCGCCCTGAACAAGCTCCCGCAGTTCACCACGCGCCTGGGCGCCGACGGCTTCGCGCCCTTCAGCGTCCACTTCGTCCACGCCCGGAGCACCCGGGCCGACGCGATCCCCCTGCTGTTCGTCCACGGGTGGCCCGGCAGCTTCTACGAGGGAACCAAGCTCATCGAGCCCCTGACCCAGCCCGGTGAGGGGCAGCCCGCGTTCCACGTCGTCGTGCCCAGTATCCCCAATTTCGGGTTCTCGGAGGGTCCAAAGGAGCGCGGGTTCAGCGTCGACCAGCACGGAGACGTGCTCCACCAGCTGATGCTTCGTCTTGGCTACGACCAGTACGTGACGCAAGGCGGGGACTGGGGATGGATGATCACGCGCGCGATGAGTCGCAAGTATGCGCCGCGACACATCAAGGCACAACACTGTGAGTGAACTCTTCCCGTGTCAAATTGATCACGGAAACCGTTCAACCCTTCAGAGATAAAAAGTACAGGCTGATTCGAGACACGGCAGTGAACCTGGAGGTGTTCAGCACGCCAAGTCTCTTCAGAAACCCCATCCTAGCCATCCAGTCGTACCTAAGCCTTGCCTTTCCCAGCGAGCGTCAGAAGCAGGGCTTCGAGCGCTTCAAGTGGTTTCAGGCCGAGGGCTCCGGGTACAGTGCGATCCAGGGCACGAAGCCGCAGACGGCTGGCTACGCTCTCACCGATAGCCCCGTGGCGTGTCTGGCCTGGATCTATGAGAAATTGCACGACTGGACCGACGATTATCCGTGGACGGATGACGAAGTCTGCACTTGGATTTCCATCTACTGGTTTTCTACCATGGGCCCACATGCAAGCCAGAGACTGTATTACGAATTTGCTCGGAAGGCAAAGTCGACTGCCGAACAGAAAAAGATGGAACCGCCAGGCAGCACGATTGAAGAGTTGCAAAAATGGCAGGACGTCAAGATCGGGCTGGCACACTTCCCGGGAGATGTTATAGCGATACCTGGAACAACGGGGAAATTGTTGGGGCGAGTGGTGTACGAGAAAGACCACAAAGATGGAGGCCACTTCGCAGCATAGGAGCGGCCCATGGCGGTTGTGGAAGACTTGAGGGCAATGTTTGGGCGCAACGGTGGGGCAAGAGGTGTGATCAGCTCGGCAAAGCTATGATCGATATATCGTACCGGAACGGATGTTCTAACGGAACTTCGGATTGAATCTGTCGTTACTGCCATACATCGCTCAATTGTACCGAGACCTCCATAGCATTCGGGATTTCCCTTCTGAGGACGCCATGGGGTTCGGGAAAAAAACAAATCATCAATCCTAGTACACACCATCCGGCTATTGCGGCCAGCTGCGTCTGACGTGGTTCGCTGTGATGGTCGTGTTAGAGCTTATCACCGTAAATCTATCCCCTTCGAAGCCTATGGTAGTTCGGTCTCGTAGATAGTCGAGACCTGCATAGGTTGCCAAAAAAGGATGGGGTTTCGAAAACTGGTCATGTGAAATATTCGTAATAAGTCTTTGAATCTCATTCTAGATGCTGCTCCATTCCATTCCAATGGTAACGCGTAAACAATGCTGTCCTTTCAGTCCGCCGAGGTGTAAATCCGCTGAGGTGTGCAGTGTGTATCATGAGAGAGGAAAAAAAAAAAAAAAAAAAAAAAAAGAAACCTAACCTAACCTTCATTAAGACCATACCACATGCTGGGGCCAATGGGCTGTTACCAACCGGCAGCCTCCATTATCCCTCATGGCTCACGTCATACATGTCCAAACTATCTTAAACATCATTGCTGGGGTATTCTACCTTGGTAGTCGTAAGGAACTCTTCCTTCAAGCTCCTCACGCTCACAAATCGGCCCAGCAGGTTCAACGAACCCGCCTTGTCGTTGGTGCCGCTGGCCCTCGCACCACCGAATGCCTGCTGTCCGACTACCGCGCCCGTGCTCTTGCAGTTGACGTAGAAGTTGCCCGCTGCGTTGCGCAGCGCCTCTTCCGCGACGCGCACCGCTGCCCGATCGCTGGCGAACACGGCTCCCGTGAGTCCATACTCAGAAGTTCGATCCACAAGCGCGCACGCGTCGACGAAAGCTTGGGCCGGGTCCGCGCCCGTGTCGTCATACACGTATACGGCGAGTATAGGGCCGAAGAACTCTGTACTCATGATCTTGTGCTCGGGGTTCTTCGTCTCGTAGATGGTCGGGTGGACGAAGAAACCCTTGCTGCTATCATACTTTCCGCCGGCGAGCAATTCGAGCTCATTGTCATTCTTCGCTTCATCAATGACACCGCTCAGCTTCTTGAAGCTGCCCTCGTGAATGACCGGTCCGATGAAGTTCTTAGCTTCCCACGGCTCGCCCACTTTGAGCTTCTGCGCTTCGGATACAAGCTTTTCTTTAAACGCAGGCCAGACGCTCTTGGGCACGTAGACGCGGCTCGTAGCGCTGCACTTCTGCCCTTGGTACTCGAATGCGCCGCGCACCGTGTTGATTGCTGCGTTCTCGACATCGGCACTTGGGTGAATGAGGTGAAAGTTCTTGCCGCCTGTCTCACCCACGATACGCGGGTACCCTTGGTATCGGCCCTCGGCCGTGCCTTGGCCAATCTGTCCGTATAGCTTGCGAAAGACACCCGTGCTACCCGTGTAATGCAGGGCTGCGAACTGCTTGTGTGCCAGAACTGCCTTGGTCACTTCCTCGGGGTTACCTGGGACGAATTGCACAACGTTCTTGGGAAGCCCAGCTTCAAGGAGGATATTATACAGCAGCCAATTCGACGCAATGGCACTGTCGCTTGGCTTCCACACAACCACATTACCAAGCAATGCGGGCGCTCCAGGGAGATTGCCCGCAATGGCGGTGAAATTGAAAGGACTGACGGCATATACAAAGCCCTCAAGAGGTCTGTACTCAGTGCGGTTCCAGACTCCCGGCGAATGGTGCGCAGGCTGTTGCGCATACATCTCCTCAGCATATTGCACGTTGAAGCGCAGGAAATCGCACAGCTCGGCGGCGGCATCGATCTCAGCCTGCCAGGCATTCTTTCCTTGACCAAGCATCGTAGCGGCCATGATCTCGTAGCGGTATTTAGTCGAGATCAGGTCTGCAGCCTTCAGGAAGACGGCCGCTCGGTCGGCGAAGGGGAGTGATTCCCAAGCGGGTTTCGCGGCCAGCGCAGCATCGATAGCAGTATTGACATCGGAGGTGCTGGCGAGCGAATACTTGGCAATTGTCGTGGCGTGATCGGAGGGGTTGTGTTGCGTGGCTGTCTGCGAAGTTGTGATCTGATTATTGTTTAGACCAGATCCAGAAGATTGGAGATTTTGTAGGATTCACACCTCTTTACCTCCTATTACTAAAGGTACCTCTACTGTACCCTTCTTCTTCATTGACTCGACGGCAGCAAACAAGCCCTCGCGCTGTGTCGAGCCCTTGGCATAATGGTGCTACGGAGTACAAAAGTCAGCACAACTGCGTCATGTTCAGTAGTGATGGCTCTGGGTCGTAAAACATACATTAGGTTCGTTCACCACCTTGGGTATCTTGAAAGTAGCGATTGTCGACATTCTGGGTGCCGACGTATGTAAGGTCCTCGCTTGTCTGATCGTGTTCAAAGCTTTAGGTAGACATCTCGTAGCCGGCGAAGCAGGGCAAGCCAGCTTTGATTGCAACTGCGGTACTCTAGAAAGACCGATACATCTCCGTGTAGCGGCCATGGTGGGCGAGGAGAGAGAGCAGTGAATGGCTCTCCAATTGACTCTCGAGTACGTTGACCAGGCTGGTTTTGACGGGATCGCT